TATCTCTTTCCCCAGAAGAACTTAGTCCAATAATAGATACTACCTCGGCCACCTGGTCTTTCTCTGCTCGTGGTATTAGAGCCCTGGAGTTGGTTCCCCTGGGTCAGATGCTGCTGCCTCCACTGTGATCTGGGAACCTGGACTGAGCAGCTGCTGCTCCACCAGCAGGGTCTGTGCTGGCAAGAGACCTACATTAAAGCCCCTTGTGTGCCCAGCCCAGGTGCGGACTTTCTCTGGTGGCTGGAACCAGGGAACTGGGGCAGCCTCAGGCTCTGCCGACATCAACTCCTGAGCTGCAGACTCCAGGTGATGGGAGAGATCTGGGGAAAAGTGCTGGGAACGGGCAGCAAAAATGTGATTGGGATTAGCCAGCACATCCCTGTGACCCTCCATCAGATTTCCTAGTGTGAACTGACCCTGAGAAACTCATGTATTCTCATCCCCGCAGTAGCAGAATTATTGCTAGTCCCTGTGTTCCCCCTTTGGGGCCAGATTGTCTCATTCCTAGATATTCTCACATTGCTCCAGGCCACGCTGGAAACCATTTATTGTTTGTACATTTTCTCCCTTATGGGCCAGAATTAACTAGATGCTAAAATAGTTGGAGCAGGGAGAGTAAAATGTGGTGCTTTCCTCCAGTGCTATTGGAGAGTGATGGGGTGAGTCCGAGGGATTCCCCCTTCACCATCACCCTCCACCCTTGACACAGTAACTCTGTGTTGGAGAGTTTTATCCTCTCCCCATTCTACCCCTCCACCTCCCAAAGGGCCACTTACCACAGTGTCCCTGGCTCTCCATGCTTATGATTCACAGTTTGAATTTCTCTGATCCTAAGTCAGTCTCCTGAGGGCTGGAGAAGAAAGTGTCACAGACCCTGGGAGTGGGCAGGGAATTCCCAATGAATCTCAAAGCACAGTGTGACCTGTCTGCTCTTATAGCCCTGTTTCCATCTATTGGCGAAATTGCTTCTAGACTTTTTCTAGGCTAGTCCAGATCATTTATAGATGGTGTGACGTTGTGCAGTCTATATGGTTTTATAAAAACATAATAAGAAGTGAATATAATGTAACTGGAATAGTTTTATAAAAATATGATAATAAGTGAATATAATATAATATAATGTAACTGGAATATGCTTCATGCAAAAGGTATTGCTCAGAAGGTGGCATGGTGTTAGAAGTTGGTTTCAACCTGGTTTTGATAAGTGGCAAAATGACTCTGTGTTATATAAACCTACATATTTATTATTATTATTCCTTCAATTTGGGAATATGAAGTTCCAGATATACTGAATCAATAATACACAAATTTATTGACTGGAATGGACAATGAAAGGTTGTAACAATCATTATGTTCAGCAGTATTATGTCATTCTCAGTTAGTTGTATTATGTGTATAATTTTGGTCCCCTTTGGAATCAACTGTTCCGAGTCCTTATTGGTGTTGGTGTTAAAATGGTTTGGGGCCAGAACAAGTTAATAACAGTATGTTAGCGGGGCCGCCCAGAGGATTCAGGGGGCCTAGGGAGAAGCAATTTGGGGGGCCCCTTCCATAAAAAAAAGTTGCAATACTATAGTAACATGTATTTGGAAATGTAAAAAATAACCAGTGAAATACATTCAAAAATTAATTTTTAATAATTTGAAAATACACGAAATACATTATTTAAAAACATTAAATGCTTTAATGGTATGTCTACATTTGCAATTACATAATGGGCTGTTGCTGGGTGATGGTGATGGTTGGTGCCAATGGGCTGTTGCTGCCTGGGGGTGGCACTGCTTTTGCCCAGGGCTGGGTGGAGAGCTGGGCTCTGGGTAGGGGGATGCCCAGCTCAGAAGGGCTGGGCTCAGAGCTGGGGGTTAGGGCTGTGGGGGGATGGGGTCGGGGACTGTCTGGCTCAGAGGGGCTGGGCTCGGAGCTGGGGGTCAGGGCTGTGAGGGGGATGGGGTATCCGGCTCAGAGGGGCTTACCATGCCGCTTACCCCCGCCTTCCCCCTCTCCCAGAGCCTCAGCGTGCAGCAGGAGCGGCCCTAGACAGTGCTGCAGCGGCATGGCTCCCCCCTCCAGCTCCTCCCGCTTGGCTGGAGCTTGCAGCCCCGCCCTCTTACCACGCGGCTCTGAGTGGGAGGAGCTCAGGTCCCACCCGAGCCATGCCTGCAGCGCTGTCCAGGGCCGCTCCTGGACGCGGCGCGCTGAGGTGCCGGGGGGGGGCCGTCCCACATTCTCATGGGGGCCTCTGCGGGGCCCGGGGCCTGGGGCAAATTGCCCCACTTGCCCCCCCTCTGGGCGGCCCTGTATGTTAGTAATAGGTTTTGATTCCTAAAACATTCTCCTCAAGGTAATGTGTTTATGTGTATAGTTAATCCCCTGGGGAGGGTACTGTTCTCAGTGGTATCTGATGACAGAACAAGGAGTAATGGTCTCAAGTTGCAGTGGGGGAGGTTTAGGTTGAATATTAGGAAAAACATTTTCACTAAGAGGGTGGTGAAGCACTGGAATGGGTTACCTAGGGAGGTGGTGGAATCTCCTTCCTTAGAGGTTTTTAAGATCAGGCTTGACAAAGCCCTGGCTGGGATGATTTAGTTGGAAATTGGTCCTGCTTTGAGCAGGGGGTTGGACTAGATGACCTCCTGATATTCTATGATTCTATGGTGGGGGGAGGGGGCAGACAGGGTCTGGGTTGGAATGGGTTAATGACATTATGCTACTAATCTGTTCTCATTAGTAAAATATTGTCCTCAAAATAATGTTCTAGATATATAAATTTGATCTCCTGAACCACTTTGGAACTGTGTGTTACGGGTAGGGATGCCAATCCTTCAGGATTGGCCTGGAGTCTCCAGGGTATAAAGATTAATCTTTAATTAAAGATTAATGTTGTGTGATGAAACCTCCAGGCCACATACGTCCAGCCACAATTGGCAACCCTAGTTACGGGTCCCTATTAGTGTTAAAGTGATTCTGAGATAGAACAGGTTAATGACAGTTTGCTACTAATTGGTTCTCATTGCTAAAATATAGTCCTCAAGGTAATGTACTACATGTATAAATGTCCTAACCTCAGCCACTGTGCAAGTGTGTGTTCTGGCTCCTTTTTGGGGTTAAAAATTGTTCAGTGCTGGAATGGCTTAAGGAAAGTGTGCTACTAATCAGTGCTCATTAATCAAATATTGTCCTGAAGGTAATGTGCATGGGAGGCAGGTGGAGCCCCCCTTTGGGGTAGCTAGCCCCTGGCTCCACCCCTTCCACCTGCCTCCCCTGCTTCTCCCCCACATCTGGAGCCACAAGCCCCCCTGCACCTGCCCAAAGAAGCCCAGGCCAGCTGCAGCTGCACGGCACCTCCCCTCCCCAGACCCCAAGCTGCACCAGGGAAAAGCATCTCTTCCCTAAGAAGCTTTTGATATAGCCCATGCAGGTTCTGGGACAGCTGAGGAGGCAGTGTTTGCTACTCAGCTTCCTGGCTTCATCAATAATCTCTCTGGAGTCCAGGGAGGTTACTGATGAACCCAGGAAGCTGAAGAGCATATACGGACTCCTCTGTTGCCCTGCATGGGGCATAATAAAGCAAAATTTTCCCTGCAAAACCCTGCAACCGGGAATCTGGTGGCAGTAATGTGCTCTATGTGTAAGGGGACTGTTGGCCCCTCACTAAAACTCAGTGGGGGCGTTTTGGTTGGCTGCTCCCATTACAAAAAGGAAGGGGAAGGGTCGATGGGAAACCAGGACCCTAACACTGATAGTCCTTAGGGGCAATGGGGAGAGTCCAATGCTCCAGGTCAGCCTGATTGACAGGGCGGGCAGGCTAATGAGGGAGTCAGTGGGTCCCATCCTCCATGTGAGCTGGAATTGCCTGGGTCAGACAGAGTGGGGCTGAGCTGAGGAGAGAGCAGGGGGCCCAAGCTGAGCTGGGGATCAGAGCTGGGCCAGCCAGAGAGAACCAGAGAAGCAGCCCAGGGAGCTGGAGGCAGAGCAGCAGAGAGTGGAACTGGGGCGGGAGTTGTCCAGAGCTGGATGCGGTGAGTAACTGGGGCCAGCGAGGGGAGGACCCTGGGCAGAGGGCCCAGCGCAAGGAGATGCCACTAGCCAAGAGGCCTTGCAGGCCAGACTTGGAGGGGATCGTAACCCCGATTGGGAGCTGATGCTGGGAAGTAGGGTCCTGCCACCTGAAGGAGTGTGGCCACCTCCAGAGCAAGAGTCCAACCTGTGGCACCCCTGCAGCACAGCCAGGGTGTGAGAAGGAGGCCTGGGACGTGTGAGGAGCAGATTATGAACTGCCCTTATACTCCAGAGACTGTTGTTTTTGATGTTCCTGTGCCACATAACGGGGTGACGGGTTTTCCTTTAACCTTTCCCATTTTTTCCCTTATTCTTTTTTAATTGGTTGCTGTTTAATAAATTGTATGTGCTTTGAACTGTATGCAATGGTCACTGGGTCAGGGAAGTGTCCAGTGCAGAGAAGGAACCCTGGAGTGGGGACACCCCAGCCGCTGCCCTAAGTGACCACGACAAAGTTTGGGGTTGAGCCCCCCAGGAATCCTGGGTCCAGCCTTGTTGGGGTTACGAGGACTCTGCCACACAGGAGAGTGGAAGGGGAGCCCTCAAGGTCAGGCAGAGCTCTGGATAAAGGGAGTGGGAGTGAGGACTTGGATCCTTTCACTAGCCCATTTTGCTGGGACAGTGTATAAGCCAGGAAACTTCCCCACCATGCCGGGACCATTCCCCCTCTTACATATGTATAAATTAAGGCCCCTGAGGCACTTCAGAACTATGTGTTCTGGGTACTTTTTGGTGTCAAAATATTTCTGGTCTAGTGTGAGGTGGCCAGGTAGGCTTATTAACTCCATAGGCTGCACCAGGAGGGACAACCAGGGAGCAGGGAATTGACTGCAAGCAGGCTCAGCTCTGCAGAGACTATAAAGCCAGGAAGCTGGCAACAGCCAGGAGCTACTGCTGGGAAAGGGCAGTCCGACTCCTCCCTGGGAAGAGGGAGGGAGGTTTAGAGCTGGGACACGCAGAGCAAGTCAGAGAGCCAGGAACTGCAGGAAGCAGTCCAGGGAAGGAGCAGTGAGGGGAAAGCCCAGAACAGCTGAATTGAGGGTCCCTGGACTGGAACCTGGAATAGGGGCCAGGCCTGGGTTCCCCTAGCAGTCACCGAGGGCGTGGTATAGACATGTGGGGCAGTGAAGGGGAGGATTGCCTGGCTCACTGGGAAGAACAGAGAACGGAAGGACTTTACCCCGGAAGCGTGGAGAAGGCTGCATGACCTGGCTGGAGAGCGGAGTCACAAAGTGGGTGCTGTGGTTCCTGGGACAAGAGAACACGTGTAGAGATGATGTAGCTGCATGCAAACTGTGGCAGCGGGGGGGTTGACCTTGAGAAAGAATCCCCAGAGTGACTCTGAGAGAGGACGCCAGACTTGTCGTGAGTAGAGCACTCCATGGCATCTGGAATGAGTGAATAACCATGTGAGGCACTTTGAAACCAAGTGTTCTGGATCCTTTTTGGTGTGAAAAGGTGGTTCTGGGCTGGAATGGGTTAATGCAGTGTGCTACTACTTGTTCTAATATCTGAAATATTGTCCTCAAGGTAATATGCTAGGTGCATAAAAAAATTTTCCTGGGCTACTTTGGAACTGGCTGTTCCAGGCCCTTGTTAGCGTTAAAGAAATGGTTCTGGGCTGGAACGGGTTAATACGTGTGCTATTAGGTGGTTCTCATTCCTAAAATATTTTTTTTAGTTTCTTTATTGCACTGTTTATTTAAACAGTTTTATTTATTCAAATGCCATTCTGGGCTGTTCTGGCTTCTTCCGGCTTTTACACCTGATTTACAATAGGTGAGTGACGGGGAATCTGTCCCAGAGTTTCCAGTGGGTTACTTCCGACTTACACCAGGGTCTTGTGTGTTTCTTCCCTCTCCTCCATGGCGTGTAACTCTAGTTCTCTGGTTTCCTTGTCTGGTTCAGCGTTTAAGCCGTTCCTGCTGCTGGTCTCTCAGCTGCAAGGCAGGTCCCTGGCTCCTGCCTGACCCTCCTGGGCCAGAGACTCCTGGTGTTGCCCCAGGCCTGAGACTGACTTAGTGCTGATGCTCCATCGAGACATTGACCTTTTCCCTGTGGGGCTGCCAGCCTGTTCCTAGCAGCTCCTGTTTCAGCTGCTTCCTTCCCCACTCTCCCTGCTCAGACCCACACCAATAGAGAGCTGTCCCCCCCAACTCCCCACAAATCCTCCTTTGCCCCATATGAAATATGGAGTGATAAGTGAATGAGCTGACAAGGGCCTGCTCCTGTAAATCCTCCCCGGTGAACCCTCCTATTGGTGTCAGTGGGCTGCTGCTGTGACTAAGAGCTGCTGGGCAGAGGGGCATAGGCGGCAGGTTTGTATAATTTTTGGTGGTGCCCAAAATGGTGGTGCCCCCCCTGCTCCTGCCCTGTAAGCCAATATATATATTTTATTAAATAGTGTAAACATGGACTGGAAGTCGTAAGCATTTAAGTGCAATGTTTCTCTTTATTGCACAATATCACTATCAGAAAAATCCATTGTTGATTATTAGTGGTCCTACAAATCAAGAATTTGTTGCTGGGATAAAATGAAGCTACAGTGCATCGGCGCCACAAGATTACAAGGGTCAATTAAAAGTGGAAAGTCAGAAGCAGCACTTGCTTGCTTCAATATACAGTATTATATTTTGTTGCACCTGTTGTGACGAAGTGGGAATGTTCTTAATGTTTTCTCTGAATACTGTGTGGGTGCCTCAGTTTCCCCTGCAAGGTGCCAACTGAAGGTGTTGGAGACAAAGAGATCAGGTGGCCTCCTTGTCTGGAAGAGACACAAAGGCCAGAGGAGGGAGTGTCAGTTTGGAGCTGGCTCGGGAAATGGGGAGAGGCCCAGAACGTGGACTATTTGCTCCCTCTCCTGCTCCCTATTGTGGAGGGAGCTGGGGTTGGGGGGAAGGGATCAGTGATGAGCTCCCAAAATCCTAAAAACCAGTTCCCTACCGGGTCCTCGGCAGCACTTCAGAGGCGGAAGGGGGGCGTGTCTTCACTCGCTCCGGGTTTTCGGCGGCATTTCGGCAGCAGGTCCTTCACCCGGAGCAAGTGAAGACCACCCCTGCCGCTGAAGACCCGGTAAGGAACCGCGCGGTGAGTACAAGCCCCACGTGCCTGTCTTTTCCCCCCCCCAATCCGACCCCAACCCATGTCCTGCCCCCGACTGCCCCCCCTCAGAACCCGCAACCCATCAACTCCCCCGCTCCTTGTCCCCTGACCACCCCCTCCCGAGACCCCCCCGACCCTAACTGCCCCCCAGGACTCCACCCCCTACCCAACTCGCCCCACTCCCTGTCCCCTGACTGCCCCAACCCCATCCACCACCACCCTGACAGACCCCCGGAACTCCAACATCTCCCCAGCCCCCCCTGTTTCCCATCCCCTGACCGCCCCCCAGCACCTCCGCCCACTTCAACCGCTCCCTGCCCCTTATCCAACCCCTCCTCCCAGCCCCGGCCCGGCCCCCTTACTATGCTGCTGTGTAAGGATGCCTTGCGGCCGCTGGAGCTCACAGTCCCACCCCCTTACCATGCCGCTCAAAGCGGCAGGAGCTGCAGAGCTGCCCAGAGTGTTGGCGCCGGCAGTGCGACGCAATGGGGCTCTGCGGGGGGGGGGGAGGAAGGGCCAGGGGAGCCTCCCCAGCTGGAAGCTCAGGCGGGCCAGGCAGGATGGTCCCGCGGACCGGAGTTTGCCCACCTGCCCGGCCCTTTAGGAACTGGTTCTACACCGGCTTCTAAATTTAACAACCGGTTCTTGCGAACTGGTGCGAACCTGCTCCAGCTCACCACTGGAGGGGATCATGGGACTGGTTAGAATCCGGCCCGTTGGCTCAGCCCCAGGGATCCCACAGACATGCCCTGCCCCCGATTCCCGCTCTGAGTGTGTCATACCATGATGCCGACCCAGACACAACAACCAGCAATGCACCAGCACTGAGCAGAGACCTCCCCCTCCCGCACACCATCTCTACTCTCCCATGGCTGAATCAGGAGCCCCAACATTCTGTAGCTCTGATCCTGTGTGACCCTGAGTCTCCCACCATTGCACAGGTTAAACCATTGGTAGGGGATAGAGCCTTGAGCCCAGACAGTCTGTGCTCAGCAGTAACAATAACTGACCCTTCTCCAGTGTCTCTCCCCAGAGGATCTCAGCCCTCTCCAGGTGTGCACGTAATCCATGTCTGCTTGGTGTGGGTGCTCTGTTCGCCTCGAGTGGCACCTAGCCAAGTTAGAATGAGTCTGCTACAGCCTTGGCTGTGAGCCACGTGGCTTTTAGCTCATGCAGTGGAGTAGCGGCTCATGACCTAAGGCTTTGTCTACACTACCAATGTTAGTGCTGCCGGGTTGTGTAGTCATGGCACCAGCACTGGAGAGAGCTCTCCCAGTGCTGTAAAGAAACCACCCCTGCGAGGGGAGTAGCTCTGGGAGCGTGTCTCCAGGGCTGTAGCGCTATCTACAATGCCGATTTACAGCGCTGAAACGTGCATCGCGCAGGAGGGTGTTTTTTCACCCCCTGAGCGAGACAGTTTCAGTGCTGTAAAGTGGCAGCGTAGACAAGGCCTATGTTTCAGAGATCCCAGGTTCAATCCCACCTACTGATGACCAGGATCTGTTAGCTTTGTATGTGTGCATACACACACACACACACACACACACTGCACACGGTCACTCCCTCCCCTCCGAGGTGCATGTTGTGCCGGGATGATTGTGGCAGCTGTTTCACAGCTGGCTCCCAATAAAAAGGGTTGCCAATACTGTTAAGGGCATTGTATTTTTATCACTTCCTCCTAATATTATGATGATGACGATGATGATGATTTTATTATAAATAAGCAGCACTCACTTAGGGTATGTCTACACTACGAAATTAGGTCGAATTTATAGAAGCCGGTTTTATAGAAATCGGTTGTATACAGCCGATTGTGTGTGTTACCACATAAAATGCTCTAAGTGCATTAAGTCGGCGGACCGCGTCCACAGTACCGAGGCTAGCGTCGACTTCCAGAGTGTTGCACTATGGGTCGCTATCCCACAGTTCCTGCAGTCTCCGCCGCCCATTGGAATTCTGGGTTGAGATCCCAATGCCTGAATAATGCAAAACAGTGTCGTGGGGGGTTCTGGGTATATATCATCAGGCACCTCCCCCTCCATCAGAGCAACGGCAGACATCGATTCGTGCCTTTTTACCTGGGTTACCTGTGCAGCCAACATACCACGCCAAGCATGGAGCCCGCTCAGCTCAGCTCACCGTCACCGTATGTCATCTGGGTGCCAGCAGACGTGGTACTGCATTGCTACACAGCAGCATCTAATTGCCTTTTGGCAGTAGAAAGGTAGCCTTCATCGGCGATCTGGGTGCTGGCAGATGTGGGGCTGCATTGCACATACCCTGTTTCCCCGAAAATAAGACAGTGTCTTATATTAATTTTTGCTCCCAAAGATGCGCTAGGTCTTATTTTCAGGGGATGTCTTATTTTTCAATGAAGAAGAATACGGTACACATTTTTTGTCTTATTATCGGGGAGGTCTTATTATCGGGGGGATGCCTTATATTACAACGAGAGGCAAAACTGTAAGTAGGCCTTATTTTCGGAGGATGTCTTATTTTCGGGGAAACAGGGTAGTAGCAGCCCCTTGCCTTTTGGTAGAAGATGGTATATGACGACTGATATCCGTCATCGTCATACTGCAGTGGCTGTCAATCATGGGCACCTGGGCAGACATACTCAGTCCTATCGAACAGTCTTGACGATGATGGATGTCGGTCGTAGTATGCTATTTTCTGCCAAGCGCCCAGAAGATGCCGAGGGCAATCAGTCATGCTGCACCGTCGTCTGCCAGCTTAAGATGTAAAAAATAGATTTGTTCTGTATTCATTTGCTTCCCCCTCCCTCTGTGAAATCAATGGCCTGCAAAACCCAGGGTTTTGAGTTCAATCTTGGGGGGGGGGGGGCATTCTGTGTGACAGTTGTTTGTGTTTCTCCCTGATGCACAGCCACCTTTGTTGATTTTAATTCCCTGTAAGCCATGTCGTCACTCGCCCCTCCCTCCCTCTCTCCATCAGACAATAGTTTCGCGCCTTTTTTCAGCCCAGACGCCATAGCACTGGGATCATGGAGCCCGCTCAGATCACCGCGGCAATTATGAGCACTATGAACACCACGCGCATTGTCCTGGAGTATATGCAGAGTCAGAACATGACAAAGCAAAACCAGGCGAGGAGGCGATTGCAGCGCGGCGACAAGAGTGATGTGGAAATTGACATGGACATAGACCTCTCACAAAGTACAGACCCCAGCAAAGTGCAAATCATGGTGTTACTGGGGGAGGTTCATGGCGTTGAACGCCAATACTGGGCCCGGGAAACAAGCA